ATAAAGAATCAGGCTGTCAGAAACAATTTTGCCTTTTTAGTTAAAATCAGTGCAATTTAAGAGACAAACTTGCTCTGTGTGATGTTTTGAATGAAACAATCAGCGATTTTTAAACAAGTAACTTGACCTTCGTATTGCACAAAATGTATAGAATCGTTTGAAAAATGGTCCAACTGAAAAACAAGCACTGTTTCTTGAAAAGCTGAAATAAAACCTTGTCGGCTAAAATAGGCCGACTGAGGCACATTGTGCAAAGCTGTTTCACACTGACAACTCATGACAAGCATCGTGACCTCATTTCCATTGGTACTGATTCATTTCGAGTTGAATCTTTCATGACGAAAATGAAAACGTACCTTCTGCCTTTTTGCAAAACTCCGATACCGCACTTCCATGGGTGTGAAGGATTTTAATGCAGACTTGAACTAAACGCATAACAAAACTCGTCAATGAGGAGGCGAACAGGATGGAATGATCACTCAGTATGTACTTTTGATTAAAATGAGAGCTTATTGGGGCTCTAAAGGGTGAAAAATGCTGAAACACTTATTGTGTGTCGTACAGTAGCTCACCTGATTGAAGTAAACATTTATCTCCAGCAAAATTGAGCCTTTTGTTGGACCCCAGAGGTCTGGTGCCTTTAGCGCGTACCACTTGCTGCCTCCATTGTCTACCTAGTAAAATGTCAAGAAGCGCTGATGATCTTAGCTAAAATTATCATTCAATTTGTTCATTGCCGAACCCCTCGAATTCCCCCCCGAATACATTTATGAAGACGTCTGATGGACTTTCGTGAAAAATCGTCAAAGTAAAAGATTAATAAAGAAGTAAAGATTGCCTACACGGAGGGGATGAATCGCGAGACCGCCGATGACTTCCGCCTTATTCTTCTCGATTTCGATTACCGTTATCCTCATAATGGCATGAATGTCTGATAAAGGACTAAATTACAAGTGCAACACTATTAAATACTGCACTAAATTACTAGTAAAATATACGTCCTGCAAGCTCACATCACGAAACACCGATTCCATGTGGGATTTTTCCGTTTCATCACATTCTGTGTCCTGAGATGGGTGTTGATCATGTCAACAACACAGAAGATTTCACTTCGGCCGTTCGTAGATTTGCCGCCAAGACCCATTGCACTGCAGACTAGGGAAGTTGAAAATTAAACGAAATTGACAAAGGAGACCCCATCTGACAATCGCTTACGTTTTATACACAGTCTAGAGCAGTCAAAGGCTCGCGACAAATACTTGGAATATTAACTGATTTCGATGATGCATTTACTTCTGCAAGGTAGGTTAAGAGGGTCACTTTGTGTCTGTTTCAATAGCCACCGAAAATTCCAATAAGGAATGGCAGATTAAACTCGTATTGACTGCAGTATGGAGTGTTAAATCAAAGACTTGTAACACGTACTTTTCAATCGCATCCATCCGATATCCTGAGGGTTTTTAAAGGAGTTTTTTGCACTCTGTTGAGAAATACAAAATGAAAGAAACCACAATAGGTATCAACTACGGTGGTTGTTAAAATGTTCAGAGTAAAATATCCACCAAAATGTGGGTTAGTTAAAAAAATTTGAGTAAATCTTGGTTTTAATGCACACAATTCACTGATAGAAGACCAATTGTTGGTTTAATAATGCTTTGGGTTGAAAATACCAGATTTTTTGTAAACTTACAAAATGTTCAGCCACCAGCTGAAGATAATTGACGGGGAGATTGGGATGTAGGGGCTTCTCGTCACGCTCACCTGGACTTCTCCTTGTCTCGCTCCCGAGGTCGTACATGCTAAGACTTAGGGATGAACGCGCGAGATAGGAAGAAAAGCGATCCCTGGCCTGCAAGGGACTCCTGGCAGCAGTGGTCAGTCCGGTTATTGTTACAAACATCAGAATTCGGGCCTCGTTGGAATTTTTTAGCAACTGCAATTCCATTTTTTGCGTCAACTCAAGTGGCATGTCGGTCAAGTCGATGACAATCCTAAAAGCAAAGTAATTGCGAGTTGTACAGAAGCATCTACATTCAAAAAAGTACCAATGATGAAAAGTTCCGATCGTATTTTGTTGCTTATTCCCAATTTTTTAACACTATTTTCTGCTTTGCAATTGACATGCCACTTCTCTCTTTAAAGTTAGCTTTATTTACTTTCTGCATTTCGCGTCTCAAGAAGAGCAATAATTTAAATCACAGCACCGCATTACCATATCAGTTTTAGTGCATTTGAGAAATAGTTTTCAGTCCCAGCCTGTGTCAGAGAAGGACTTGAAACTCGCAATTTAATTTTGCGAGCAAGCTGCAACTAATTTATCCTAAGTAAACAGTATTGTCGTATTAATTTAGCATTGAAAATGGGCTTACTCTCCCAGGACTGAGCTTCTTGGGATGCCTCCAGTTCCTGCTTGAGTTTCTCTGTCGTACACAGTTACCCTGATGTATCCAGGGGAGCCATTAGTAAGTTGGAATTCAAATTCCTCAAGAAAGTCAGGATTACTGTTGTTTTTCACGACCTGTAAGGTAATACTTTAGACCGTTTAAACCCGAACACCCTGCAACAAATACCAGAAAGACAGCTAAGATATCCTGTTTCCATTTTTAGATCAGGTCAAAAAAGAGGCTATAATTAAATATGATAAGTCTGAAACGAATGAAAAATTACGCTAGATGACTTTTTTTCGTTCCCATAGGCGAATTCGACTTGCGGAGAAGGTTGCAAAGTGAGAGATTTGGCGGCCCAATGTAGGGCCACTAGTGAAGCCGCGCGGGTTTCAGGAGAAGTTGCCATGGTGTTGGATCCAACCATCCCTACTTGTGCGCCTTGGAACTCACCTCCACCCATTGGAGTGCCTGCTACAGCACTCCCACTCCCACTTCCGATACCAACTCCAACTCCACCTCCACCACCGACACCCTTCTCATCCATCACACATGCAGGAGTCATCTCCACCTGCGGCATTGACCGCAGTCCCCTCGCTCCCACCAGAAAAAGGTTGATCACGCCGCTTTCGACAATCTTTGTTACCTTAACCGCATCGCCCACATCCAAAGTGTCTACCAGATTGGCTGTGGGAAATGCAAGGCGCGTCATTGGAAGAAGAAATTCTATCGGCCAGGGAAGTTTTGGAATGTGCAACTCCCAAAAGCGGGCTGGATAACGACGTTGAATGGCCATCATGGGTAATTCATGGCAGCGGTGGCCTGGCCAGTCGAAGAAGGGACGCCAAGTAATGTTTGGCGAAGATGTGGATGCTTTGTTTTCAAGGTAGCGTCGTGTGACCTCATAAGGCGAGAAGTAGAAAGCAACGTCACTGCGAATTGACGGCTCGTAAAGGCTGTCAAGGGAGCACTGCGACTGAATCCTGCTTTTCGATCGGTGGAATCGACGATGATGAACACGAGAAGCCAGCTTTCTGGTCAAATGCTTGAATTAAATTAAAAGGCTAGTTAACATTATGCATACACATTTTCAGTAAACTTCCTTTAAATCAAGTTTACAAAAGTTGTTAAAAATTTTGCCCTACTTATTGAAACAAAAGCTAGTAAATGCGGTACAACTAAAATGTTTTGGATTAAGTAATTGCTGCTGACACTGACAGTCTCTTAACTGCAAATCGTAAATTTCAAGCACATCCCGTTGTTATGAAAGTTCGCCTCTCCGAAAGCAAAAAAAGCATGGCTCTGACGATTGCGTAGAGGATGAGGTGAGGCAACACACTTTCCACATTGAAGTGTGCATTTTTTTTTCTGGTAAAGCCAAGGAATAAGATATCCTCTTAAATCCCCGACTTAAGTACGATCTCCTTTTGAATGAAACCTATACTCATTGAGTTAATTTAAAAAATA